CCCTGGAGCCCCCGGCCACTATGGCTCCCACAGCTTTCCCAACCCCCGTGCCTCCCGCTGCTGACATCCCTGCTAGCTGACCTGCAGCAAAACCAACCGAGTTTCCCACAAGAGATGCCCCAGCTGCAGCTGCTAGTGGGGCAGCGGCCCCAAACATCGCTCCGACTGCCACGCCTGTTGCTCCAGCAGCCACCAGGATCTTAACTCTCTCCAGCACCTTAGCAGAGAGCGCAGCCCTCCTCCTCATGAGAGTCAAGGATGAACGAAGAGACTGTCGCCGGCTGCCGGCCCTGCGCCTGCCTCTGGACTGGTCCCTGCACTGTTCGACTCTGTCCCTCAGGAAACAGTAAACATTGCCTCTAGCCCCCTCTGTCCATCTCTCCATCCTAAAATCCTGTTCAGTTGCTCTCTCCAGTTCCCTCCTGCTGAGCCCTGCTGAGCCTCTTTCTCTGCTTCCTGCCATGTCAGACTCTAAGTCACATTTTCTTTGCTTTGCCAGTTTAGTCTGTTCCTCCACGCTGACATTATTTCCCTCTTGTTCTTCCCCATCTGCTTCCTCTCGCTCCCTCAGCATCCTGTTCTGCTCCTCCCTGATTGCAGCCTCTGCCTCTAAAAACATGCCATTGGTATAAAATCCTCTGTTAGTCTGCTTCACCATTGTGTCCACCTTAATCAAGAGTTCCTTAATTTGCACCGAGTTACCGGGGTCTCTGTTGTTCAGAACATGGTACCTGCCCCCACACCTGTCAATCAAAGCCTTAAGCCCAGCAGGTGCAGTCTTCCTCAGATACTCTTCAATCCCTATGCCCTCCAGGTCATCACCTCTGGTAAAAAGAACCAGTGTGTGGTGACGGAGTGCGTCCTCCCCAAAGATCCTGGTCAGCTCACACACAGCCTGGCTCTCACTGTCTGTGTATCGTCCTACTGGTACTACCAGGAGGAAAGCATGTGGGCCAGGGGAGGTGAGAGACACACATTTAGCTACCTCTGCATGAATCTGCTCCACACTGAGCTGGGTGTCCCCAAAACCTGGCATGTCAACCACTGTGACCCTCCTCATCCTCCTCTGTGTGACAGCCTGGCCTTTCTCCTCAGCATCCTCTTCCTCAGTGAGCTCAGTGCTCCCAAGCTCACAAATCTGGGTGACGGAGCTGGCACTGATGTGTGAAAGGAACTGCCTCCGGCCCAGGATGGTGTTTCCAGATGCACTCTTGCCACTTCCGGTCCTTCCGATGAGAACGAGCCTGAGATCTTCACTCCATCTGGTTTCAGAGTCATCGCCTTCTGTCTCGGTCTCCATATCGACGGGATCCCTTGTCCCTTGTTCCTCATCCCCTATCGGAAACACGGCACAACAGAAAAGGACTGACTTATTGAGAATTTTACATTTTATTTATATAGGTTCACTGCAACATACTGTATATGATCAGTTTATTAGGAACACCTAAATCAGTCTCATGGGCTCTTTCCGACAGACAAATAATAGAAACGCCTGATTTATTGCCAGACTGACATAGTGTGCATTAATTTGACCCATTCTACTGCCAAGAGTTTAAACGGAAAGCACATAATCCCTCATTTGTTTAAAGGCAGTTGGCTGTAGCTACTGAAGACGGTAACGTCTTGTATTCATGTAACATGTAACAGTTTGTGTGGAAGCTTCCGCATAACCAAAACAACACAATAGCTACTGTGGCACTAACGTCGGATAGATGTTATAACTCAAATACAAGCCAGTGACAACCACCGCTGAAAGTAAAGCTCGGGGATCAAATGCAGAGATGGCGCTTTAACACTAAATGTCACGCTGTGACCTTCAACGTTACTGTTTACAAGCTAGCATTAGCAAAGCAGCTGAACTTGTACCAAAAACAGCTAACTCCGCATTAGCATGCTAGCTTTAGCAAGCTGCTATTTTACATGACTACCAAGACCCGAGAGATGACCGTACCACAGTCCATGTCATTAGAAATCCTAGTTTCTCTGCGAGAGGTTGTTTCTCCTCTGAATTCAGTCTTTTATCATCTTCTAAAATTAACGTTACGTGTTGGGTTGAACTTAAAAACTGTTCATATGTAAAAGAAGACCACTGGATTTTAGGGAGCGTCTCCGACGGCTGCCTGCCCTCTGTCGGCTCATGTGTTCAACGCAGCACACGACAAATACACGTTTTGTACATACGAGTCACTTTATTTCATTAAATCTGATAACAAAATGGCTTGTTTATTCTGCAGCAACATTATTCTTTCTCTGAATATACATATAGTTGTATAAGTCATAACACAATCTCAAAATTACACCAATCTCAATTCCATATACCTAAATCATTAAATTATGTCGATTTCCGAAAGATAAAAAGCATAGGAATAAAAAAAAAAGGCTAAGTATTTAACAAAGAAAGAGGATGAAGGGTCACTGGCTGACAGATTTGTTTTCCAACAGAGTAAATAAAATTCTATTAAGTAAAACAACAACAGACTGGTGTAAAAAGAATTGACTAATGGTTTCAAAAGACTTAATGATCCCTCAGATAGTGATAAACTAAGCATTCAGAAAGAAACAAAAAATTAACCACTGGTAACTAATTTCACCATCCTTAAGGCAAACAAAATATACTTGCATCTTGTACTTTGAGCAGCAATAAGAACATAAACCTTACAACTCACAAACATTCTCTAACAAATCTCAGAAAAGCAAATGAAATCAAACTGTATTCCACTGTAAATTACATTTAACCTAACTAGAAACTGAGCACACTTAAATGAGGTGAGGTCAAATTTATATTTGGCAACCACACGTATTTGAAGCATATGCGCTTTAGACACATCAAATCTAGACCAGACAGTATGATAAGGGTTTGCAAAGTTCTGAAGCAAATTTATTAGACTAAAATTAATTATATCCCAAAGTACAGCTATATAATCCTCAAGTAATTAAAAATGAGCTTCCCTTATCAGATCCTGTTCCAGAGAGGTCTATAACCTCTTATATGACGTTAGAGTTTCCAATTATAAATGGCTGTAAGAGTACAGCAGTTGAGGCCTTTGTCAAATTCGGACCGGCCTCTACTTCCACTTCACTGGTAGAGTCGCACTGAGGGTTCTTCTCTTGTTTTCAGCAGAGCACCTGGCTTTTGGACAAGTGATGGCAGCGTTTGTTTCCGGCGCTGTCGGAGTCTACACGTCAAGCCACCCCTTGTGATCTGTGCGTATGCTGCTTCCTCGTCTTCTCTGCTCTCCACAAGCTCTGAGGTGCAGCGCTACAGCTCAGTGCGAGAGCGGGAGATGCGAGGGCCTTTCCTGATTTCTTTCCTCTTCTCTTCCTTCCTCCTCCTCTTCTCCTCCTCCCTTAGGATCTTCTGGAAAGCCTCGGCAGTGTGAAGCACCTGAAGCACAGAGAAACATGAGTGACGCCGTTTTCTGAGATTATGGGTATTTTCTGAAAACAGCGTGACAAAGCTTGGGTCTGTCCATGTGTCTCACACTAGGTGTAACTAGCAGTGTTGGAGATGCTACTCCATTTAGGTTGGTTAGACCCCACGGTGCTTTTCCTTGTTTGACTTATCTACAATGTTACAACAGTCAATTATCATCTTAGACGTGACCTAAAGCTCAAAAAATGAGGTGTACCTATGTTCTAGTATTTCTATGCAGAAGTAACTCAGTTTATACACGTCTCGCAAACTCTCACTCACATGAATTGTTTAACAAAATAAAGTTTAAGGATTTCCTTGAATGGGCATAAAGTCCAGGGAGTTGTGCGTTCATGTGAGCTTGCCTGACACACACACTGGTGCCACTGTAAAAGTGGAATTTTTCAACTGCATGTGGTTTTTTGACACTGTAAAAGTGGAATTTTTCAACTGTATGTGGTTTTTTGGATACATGTTCCCTCCTGCTGCTGCACTGGTACATCATGTGATACAAAATGATATAAAAAGGTCACATTCCAGCAAAAATGCTTAGGACCTGAGACCTGAACATGCCCTAAATAAATGACTCCGATCTGGGCTTTTCACAAGGGCAGCATTACACTGAGTGTCAGGTTTCTGTTGTAAACAAATCTGGCTTTCCTTTTATCTCACTATAACTAAAACAGTCAAGATAAATAAATGTAACTTGCACCTTTTTAGACCATTTGACCAACTGAAGAACTAGTTCAAATCGGGCCTGTTGTGTCACTTGTCAGTTTTGTAACCTGTGGCCTGTACAATCTTAACAGCTACAACAGTCTTCAACTTGCACTCTTTTCAGACAGTATGAACAGCTGGAACACTGGTCTAAATAAAGGGCCTGTTTTTTACTTGACAGAGCCGAGTTTCTTGTTCGTGCAGCACATGAGCAGTCACTCAGCGTTCTTATCCTCTGCTGGGCTCTGAACGTGTCTGTGCCAGCACTGAGAAGCTGCTCACATGCAGTAAGGTAAAGTAAAAATAAAGTAAAAATAAAGACTCATTCCTTTCTTTTTATCCATAGTTTCAAAAAATGGCAAAAAAAGCCATTTAACTACTTGAATCACTGTGTTGATATAGTTGAATTACCAGCAAGCTACTGCAAATTGTAGTTAAACTACATGTAGTTCACTACTCCCCATCACTGGTAACTAGGGGGTTCTCAGTGTGCTAAGGCAGATGAGGGGTCGGTAAAATGTTGCTATGTGATGGGGAAACTAATAAGCGTTGTCAGTGGAGTTACTCCATGTGCATGATGGTGTTGCAGCAACACGTATGGCTCTCACTCACGTCGTCTCTCTCCGTGCGATACGGGTTTATAAAGTCTGGAGACTTCTCAGTTATTCCCAGCTCCTGTGACATCTGAGAGAGCAGATGATAGAGGAAAAGATGAGGAGAGCACATCAGCATTTGTTCAGAAGAGATAAGGAAGATGAGACACAGTTGCATCACTTATTCTACAGCTAAAACGCAGCATGATGCAACGTGGCGAGCAACTGCAAACACTTCTTCTGACATTTCTTTTGCTCCTGTCGCAACAAATGAATCCACTGCACAGGATTCCTCTGCTGCTGCTAATCACATTAAGGATATACCAGCACATCTTTATGAAGATGGGCCCAGACGTGTGTCATTTGATGTCGAGTCTCTGCTCACTATACAGTATACCACTGGAGAAAACAGCTGATGTTCTCTCGGGGAGGAGAGCGGGAACGAGATCACAACAAACATAAAGACGCATTAAAGATGGCGGCACTACAAACAATATTCAGCTGTGCTGATAAGTGCTACATTCAAACAGATGGCGCATCCATGGGATCATTTCTTTGACCGGTGCATGCAGATGTATCAGTGACTGAACGGGGACGGACTACCATCACAAATCTTCTAAGAGAAGGAGATGTAAAATTCTACGCCTGCTTTGTTGATGATACTCGTCACTTTCAGTTAGAACAACAAAAGCTCCATATTTCAAAAGAAGACTTCTACAGGACAATATATTCATTTCACCAGACCTCTGCAGTCCCAGCAACTTAAATCATGTTTATTGCATTAAATGGTTTTCCAAACAGAATAATAGAGTGATGCCAAGAGGAGTGTCAGCCTAAAATATGGACCTATCATTAGAAAACCTGGACAACAAATCATAAAAGGATCTCTAAAAACTAAATCAAGGCAAATCTAAGCAAAGAGATTAAACCATAACAAGGCGAGACCCTACGAAGGGTTCTTACTTTGCTTCCACCAAGAATCCTACACAGCTCTGTTGTATATCTGCAGCTGTGTGTGTCCAGGCTGTAATGCTCATTTCCCATTAAGTGAACACCCAAAGGGATCCAGCGGTGCCGTGTATGGACATCTGACACCGTGCAAGAAATTTAAGCACCCAACTGACTTTGTAAAACTTCCTGTTAGATTGGTGATGATATCTGCAGTCACCACTGATCAATGTCACCTCTGCCTGCTGATGGATTTACAGTTAAAGTGAGAGCTTAAGGAAATGGCCGCTGCTACGCCTTTGACCTTTCTCTGAGTCACTTCACTCCTACATGTGGTGAATAGCGGTGGATCTGCTGGTCTTCTGATACTTCTTATACTGTAGCTTATTTTCTCATTTCTGCTTTAGAGACCATGAGCTACAGTTTATGAAACAGATGAGAGGATCTGAAAGTAGGCTTTGGAGAACAAGGGAGGGCTGGATGCACACTTTCAGGGCGCTAACTGCTACTGCTTCAAGTCTCTGAATTAATCCGCTATATAATCCTCTTGCACACTGCTAAGGTCATAGATTAATCCTGCAAGAACGTAGTTCATTTTACAGGATATACTATATCTGCTTTGTTCTTTGAAGTTTCACAGGACATAACGCATCATGGACAAATTTAATTGCAAACGACAGACGTATGAGCCGACGCCCAAGATGTGTTGTACACTGATGACATCACATTGCATGAAATTTTCATATGCATGAGAAAAACCCGAACAAAGCCGGATGTGTCACTTCTATGCACCTGTCACATTCACACCGCCGTGCACTATGGTGCCCTGCACCGTTTCCATTTCAGCAGGCATTATACTGAACTCAGCAGCTAGTCTTCACCATAGACTTAGAACTAATTTATCCATAATTGAAGATGATTCGCTTCTTTAAAAATTTGTATTCATCAAATCTAACATTTTGCTCAGGTTTAAATGTGCAGGAGATTGCAAAAAGAAACTAAAGTGAACCCGTGTAAACCTGCACACAAGCTGATGCAATTACTCCTTTACATGTTTCAAGGCCTTTACTTTTAGCTGGAAACCAAATTAGCTCTTAAATGCACACAGCGTCATTTGCAACAGTTTTATTGAGACAACAACAGTCTTTCTGTTTAGTTCTGCCGAATGAAGATCTCCCTAACATTTTCTAAATTCAACAAGCAGAGACTTTACAGTTGGCTTTCAAAGCTAGAATCCTGTTTCTATATCCTTCCTGCAGAAGACATCAGTGGATTGTGACGTGTTAAAATAAGGTATAGGTGACTGTCTGGTCTTACTAGTGTGAGGACATGTTGGTGAGCTCCTCCTGTGAAAACCCCTGTCTGGTTACAGAAGTTCAGGCCCCAGCGCAGCAGACCACCCCAGTCAGCGTTCCGGTCGTAGTAATGGTGGACAATACGGGGGAACCGCAGCGCCACGTCACCAAAAAAGGCTGTGTTCTCCACCACGTGGGAATAAGCTACAGAGGTTCACAAAGAGGGGACAGAGAGGACAGGGTAGGTTAATGAGCGGAGATGAGACAGAGGAGGACAAGTTGGGATGATTCTGAAAATATACAGTATTTGTGCTGACAAAACACAGAAGATGCTGATCAACAGGACAAAAGGAAGAGTGTGGTGGTGTGGCTGAATAATCCTGAAGAGAAGGAAGGCTGGTGTTCAAGACATTCAGACAGATGAGGAAGAGAAAGTTGATATTATTGGCCCTGACTGGCACCAAAAGAGGATGAGACACCAACAGAGGTGGAGCTTTTAGACACCGATTCTGTGGAGACGGATTCAGAGTGTGCGAAAGACACACTAGAGCTAAACAGAGTGTCTTGTAGAAGCGGAAGGAGAGAAACGAAACAGCACAGACCTTCCTTGATCTTATCATCCATGGGGAAGGGGTCGTCAGGCTGCATGTTGGCTTCAACCAGGATCTGTCTCGAGTCCTCCAGCACCTTAAGAATACCAGAGAGAGAGTCAATAGCAAGGTTTATTTACTGTGTTCTGTGAATTAATGTTGCTGCTGTAATGGAGGTGAGACAGTGTCTGCTGCCAGCAGCTCTGTGAAGCTGTAATTATGCACAACAGTACTTCAAGCTAAAGGCTGATTATCCCTACCTTGATATTTTACACACCATATTGCATCAATATGAGTAGCTGGATGATAAGAAGCAGTTCATAATACATGTTTAGATAATAATGTGAAATCTGGGGCTTGTTTAAAACCTCTGTCACAGCTGTGCTGCTTGTGAACTAGTGTCAATAAAAATCACTGCATCCAAAGACACAAAACGTGTCGGACAAGAGATTTCTCACTCTGAGATTAGAGTCAGGAGATGGTGTAAGAGTATCTGGATCTCTCTCTCTCACACACACACACACACACACACACACAGCATGGTACAGAAATGCTGACAATGTATTTCAGGCTCTGAAGGTTGACTGTGCTACAGTAGATGTCCTTGGGAGGCAACGCAGATGCAAAGATAGCTGTCCTCTGGGAAGCACAGCCCCCAGTCTAGTGCACGTAAATGGCACTGTGAGCAGCTCATTCTGAATTGAAATTCAAATGAATGCATAGAAACATGCTGGTGAATGTGATGACTGCATGTGAAGCCTTTCATTCTCTGCCGGTCTCCGAACCTCCTTCACTCTGCTGAGAACACAAGAAGGTCAAGATCTAGAACATAACTGCCGCTCTTAGTGCTTCTATACTTGACTTTGCTGCTGCCCAGTCTATGTGAGTGCGCACACATTCAACCCACCTTGAAGAGTCCTTTGAGCATGATGTCTATGATCTTGTATTGCTGGTTGATGTCGTTCAGCTCCACCAGATTCTTGAGCGCGTTCAGCTGATCCTTCCTCTTGGTCTCAAACAGCCGTTTGTCTGATAGGAGGAGGTCAGGAGGACACACACAGTCCACATGGGCATAATTCACATAAATAGTCACTCATGCACCCATCTGTCACACTGAAAGGCATAGAACGTGCATAAACTCATAATCTGTCACTTGCATGAACACACACACACACACACACACACACACAGGCAGACACGCTGACATCCACAGGCGTGCAGCTCTCCACGCTGGCAGCAGAAGGATACAGATCTCCAGGTTGGAGTCATGTCTCGGCCTGTGCGTGTCGGGGTCTGCCAAGGTGAGGGCAGCGGTGGCGAGTACAAGGACCACTGTACACACACTCTGCATGGTCAGCAGGGGGCGGCAGAGAGGCACTCTTCTCAACACACATGAGCAGCAAAGAGATGTGCATTGTTAAACACCCAAATATGTGCACAAGTAGTTGCATGAGTTCAAATCATTTAAGGCTGCAGAAGGGAGAAAGTACCCAACCCTACCCCCACCCCCACCCCAAACCCAGTTCTCTGACTATTACTGCTGAACACAGACTTCACTTTCATCTAAAAACAATGAGCCTTGACTGAGATTCTTTTCTTTCCGTTTTCCTCTTTAGAAGCTGCCTCTGTGAAACTTGAGGAATATGTGACAGACATGCTGGGAATAAATGGGCAGCATGAAAACCCAGAGGGTAGCCAGCACATTGAGAGGGGCTCCCTTTTAAAACATCTGATGCCTGACACTTGCAAAACACCCAGAGAAACTTTCACCACCTCCACAGGACTCTCTCTGGGCACCTGTGTCTCCTGATCTACATCCCCTTGGTCTCCCTATGCAAAGCTGTGGTGCTCAACATTCTCCTTCAGAAGCTTTTCATACATTTGAAAGGGAGGGATGAAAGTGACGAGAAACACAACAGCTAAAAATAGGGCCTCATCAAATGACAATCTGACAAAAGTCAACATTTTAAGAAAACAGTAGTAAAAACCAAAGTATCTGCTGGAGGAGAGAGGACGGTGCTGATGAGAAGCTGCTGCCCAGAAAGGCTTCCATCAGTGATACTGTCAGAGTTGTGCAGAGGGGTGTGGGGCTTGAGTAAGAGGTGGACAAGAGGCAAAATACGAGCAGAGGGGCACTGAGGAAAGTCAAGGTGTGGAGAGGTGAGACCCCAAGGACACAGCCGCTTTCCTGGAGGATGTTTCAGACGCCTGTCCTTAGACAAGAACTGAAAGATGCACAGACAGTGGAGGAAGTGCAAGATAAAGGAGGGGGACGGGGCTGTGCGAAAGGATAATGAGCACCAGGGACTTGATTCTGCACTGACAGAATTAATCTTCACAAGCTCGGCAATCGGCAGCCGGGCTTGTAAAGGAACTGAGCGAACGTCTCAGGGTCTGAATAATAATTTAGACTGAATGAGCCCCCTTAAGGATCTCACTTAAATCAGAGGGGGAAACCATATGCTCAGACAAATGATCCATCTTCAGAGTGATAACACGGGCCAACAGCAATCATCACACACTAAAACGTCCTCCTCTTTCACAACAGCTTCAGTTTCACATCCTAACAAGTGTCCAAAGACTAACAAGGAGATTTCCAGAGACTATCCTGTACCTGCCAATGACATGATAGAGTGTAGCTGCTGGTCTCTGTGGTTGCTGTCTTAAACATTAGACAACTTTCTTTCCTATGAAGTCGGGAGAAACAAGTGCTGCTGAAGACAAGCTGAGTGAAGACGATGTTTGATTAAGGCCAATTTGTGCATTCTGGGAACATCTTTTGGGTGGCATCCAGCTTTCTGAAAAATGCTGCACTAAATATCCTTAAGTGCTTGTCGAAACCCTCCATATTTCTAGGTAACAGCCATGGGAAGAAGCCTTGTTTCTCCCACGGCAGCAGCATGTCAGGCCATTTGATGTTTCTGCGTGCTCCCAAGCAGACAGCCATGTATGAGCAAAAGGGTTATGGCAGCTGGCACAATGTAAGGCAGTCAATCCATATATCAGCAGCTGCTGATGTTTATGTGGAACAGGGTAAAGTGCTGAGACTTTAAGAAGGAGCGTAAGACGGATATGAAGGCGGGGATCAATCATCTCTAATGTGGCATGGGCAGCACAGAAACGAGTCTAAATGCATCCATTAAGTGTAAGGCAACCCTAATTACACAGGGGGATCACTTCAGAAACCCTGACTTGTAGGAAAATCTACCAGTAGAGCACTCGGGTTCTGATTACACCTGGCGATATGAAAGCGACTGTGACACACTACGATGTTAACTTCAAATCCACCTTGAACCTTAGGCTCATCTGCTCAGGAAGAAAGACCTCTGACAGATAAACCACTAACATAACATCCACCTGCAGCAAGGAGATCATCCCCACACAACAGGAGTTGTCCCAGTGCACGTACTGTAGCATGATCAGCTCTGCAGGAAGTGTGATTTCATATTCTCTTCTGCTGAATCATGGACTGGTTGGATTTGCCTCCAGCTGACCCACTGGTGTTCAAGCATCCTCGGTGGGAAGGCCTGGTTCAGATTTGGTTTGTCCATGTGGCGAGTTGCGTTCACTGAGGAGAGGTCTGAAGGCAGAGCGGCTCTCGCTGAAGCTGTGTAAGCCCACGTAAATCTCTTGGCCGGCAGAGACTGTTTTCTCTGCCAGCTACTATCTCCAGTGGCACAGAGGCTGAAGTTTGATTTCCTGTGTGGGAGATCCAGGTTCCAGCTTTGTCAGATAAGCAGGCTGCCATTTGTAATCAAACTAGAAACACATGAAGACAGCTTCACTCCACTGAGTTTGAGCTCCCATGGTGTAAAAACCTGCATCCTATATTCTCAAAAAGCTGTGATGCAAGAAAGAAATTGGGAATTAATCTTCAATAAAGGGTGGGAAACGGTCCAAACTGCCAACTAACCAACTTTGAGACCAAAAAAAGCAGCTCCTGGGAGGACAGGAAAAGAGAGACGCCTATCAGACAGCTGGATGTGCTGCAGGAGCGGATCCAGTTTGCCCTCAGGCCGCCTGCCTGCTGTGAGTGGTTTGAGGTTCAAGGACTGACACATCAGCTCAGTCTCTGCTTCCATCTGTGAGACTCTCCCTCCGTTATTATTCATGCAGAGGCAGAGCCAGCGACATGCGTAATGGTGCTAATGATGGCTGAGTTTGGATAAAGACTGTCATGTGGACTATCAATTAGCCACTGCTTAATTGATTGTCTGTTGATTAGTTGATGTCTCCTACCTGATCTGCTTTCCCGTTCTACAGACAGTCTACTGACAATTCGGACTTTTAAAGCTGATAATTACAGGTTTATTATGAAACTGTCATTTAGACCATATCTACTGGGGACACACGTTTACTCCGTAATAATATCTCACAATTATTTCTATACGGTTTCCTCCACTGCTGCACTTATGGGAATTAACGAAGTATCTGAAAAAGCTCCTCCACAATCGATCCCGCCTGTCATCGCGGCTCTATGACCCGCTGGATCCCCCAGCCAGCGGGTCAGCACCGCAGATCAGACCGATCAAGCAAATACTGCCACAAAACTCGCGGATCACTCACCGTACCGTAGCCAGAAACGGCCGCGATTAGCGGACAGCGTTTGCTCCAAAGTAGTGTAGTTGAATCTTTTTATCTGCACACAAAACCTTGAAGCTCGGCTCGCCGACGGCAGCGGTGAGACAGTCAGTTTGCCCCTCCAGATCCTCAGGTGACAACAGCACGGAGGTGGAGGTACTGCTTCATTTACATGCGGCTCTCGCTGCTGCACTCCACCAGCGCCACGATCGCACCTACTGGCTCGCATTGGACGAATCACAGCGAGCGGTGGTTAAACACAGAGGGGGTAGTTTCCGCACGGAGGATTTAAAGGGGGGCACCGCCAAAGCGCGGGGCAATCGTTCCGCTTCCACTGACCAATGTTAAAACGCTGATTGTCGCCACCGGCTGCGTTTAACAATATATTCTCAATAAAATATCAGAAAATAGACATAGACAGGAAGAAAATAAAAGTTCTTTTAGGATCCGCAGTGTTGTTTTTACAGCAACAGAGCCTGAAGTACAGAAGAAGTGGCTGTGATGATGTTTATTCTACTTTACCCCCACTTACATGTATTTGATGTCTTTAGTTCCTTTTCTGAATCAGATGATTCAAAATACAGTATAATCATAAGACTTTACTGATTCTCGGTGTGGAACTCACAAGCCACCCAGCAGTATGTAAAGTACTTCAGATTATAAGTATTAGCTCCAACTTTACCAACTGCAAGTACACTAAAGTGATCAACACAGTAATTTATCTGTCATTATAATCCAATACCATCATAGACATTCATGTGAAATGTGCCATTCTGCAGAATGACTACGTTTACTTTTGGTACTTTAGGTATATTTTGATGCTACTTTGGTGCCAATAGTTTAGTTTTTCTAGCTCTACAACCGTCAGTGGGACAAAGCCGCCTCCTTGGGCATATTAACAGCTGGGGCTTCAGGTGTGGGATGACAATAATCGCTGCCATGACCAGCTCCCATTGCTTGTCTGGGTCTTTCATTTTCACATGCATGAATCGCAGTGATTTGTTGTTAAGTCAAATGTGTCCTGACTTCTGTTCACAATCAATGCGATTTCCAGAAAAACAAACATGAAATTTAAATTTTAAAGTGGTTTTTAATTTTCCAGAAAGCCCCTTTCAGAATGAGTGAAAACATCTTGGCTGTTCCAATAGTATATAGTAGTTGTATAATTTAAACTGAAGTAATATTTTTTAATCAACACAAAAGAACCCAGGTGAGATGACTTAGTGGTTTCATACCCCATGAAAAGTATCAAAAACACAGATGTATGCCTAGAACAATGACAGAGCAGTGCTGAATTATCATCTAAAGACTAAACATACTGTAAATTACTTTAAATGAATATGCAGTAAATGATTTCACTGTAGAATGTAGGCAGGAGCACGTGCTGCTTGAATAAACCTAAGAATATATGGACAACAAAAAGAACTGTGAAATCAGTGGCACACTACGTTCTATCGGTTAGCTGGAACAGGAGTCTGCCTTCAGTGAAAAGTCAAGCAGACAGATGGACACATCTCCCACACGTCTGAAGACAAAGTAAAGGATCAGTAAAGCAAGGCGAGACAGGTTTCACCTGAATGTACACATTGCGTTTACTCAACATTAAGTGTGTAAAACATTTTTATGAGTATGTTTTGCCCTGATAATATGCACTCAGCTCACCTCTAAGTACTTCCTCTGACTTACAGTAACAACTCTGAAATTGTGCAACACGCTTGAGAGGAGATTATGTGACGAGCACAACACAGACGTTCAATAAATTGCCAGAGAAAATCGATGCTGATGTTGTACAGTATGGGTATCTTTCATGGTGAGCTGAGGATGTCTGTGCACGAGTACCCGTTTATGCTCATACAACACTTGTCAGATATTTATAGAAGCGTGCCTGAGGTTTTTGCAGGGTGTGAGCTGTAGTTCATATAGGTGAGAGTACATGTGCCTGCATAAGATGCACCATATGTCAGCCTACGTGGGTTTTATGTAGCGCAGCGTATAAGTGTGTTTCACTTAAGTTGAAGGATACAGGATGTTGCTGTGCAGATCAGGGCTGCAGCTCTCGGCTGGCGTCTGCAGGCCGAGGGACTCCAGCATATTCCTCGCTCTCTGCTTGTGTTGCTCTGTGGTTGGAGGCTGCACAGCACTGCTCAGAACCTGAATGACAGAAAAAAGAGGAAGAATTTTATGGTACTGAGTTAGAGGGGACAGGCGAGAGACAGCAAGAGAAAAGAGAAGCATAACAAAGAAGAGAAAACAACACTGACTAAAGAAATGAAAACAAGACCACGTGACATAATGGAAGCAATGGGAGTAAAGGTTAATGAGCAGTGAAAACAGGGACAAAACCTAAAGCAGGAAGAATGAAAGTCAAAACAAATTGTCCAAATCAGAAAAAGACAGGCTGAAAGGATACTTCTGGCTTATTTAAACATTGTTTATTTCCCATAAATGTGGCTAATGTGGCTCTATGGGTTGTGCTAATATTTGCAGGGTGAGCCAGTTGCCTGAGATCCTCATAAGTTAGCACAGCAGCCACCCCAACTGGCTTATTTCTGTGTTTACCTTCAGAGTAAAAGAGAAGTGCTTTAAACGATTCATGCAAAAAACTCATGTTTATTCAGGAAGCTGTACATTGTGTTATGTGAGTCCTTGTTTCTCCAATTCTCTACAGTGGAAGTGACGAGTGAAAACTTCCACAGCGCCACAACAGTCACATTTTGGACTTATTTTTTCCTAACTGGCTGAAAGCTGTAGCAAATACACGTTTAACCATAACCAGACAACCACATAAAAACAAAGCAAGTCAAGCTGATAAAAGGCAAATTCTTGTTACAGCACCTGGAAGGGAGCGGAGCAAGATTCGCAAACACCTGGGGTTTGCAGAGTGCTAAATACGCAAGACAGGAACCTCTCATATAAAAAGAAAACTGTTTATTTCAGCTGTCACAGACAAGTACAGCACAAGAAATGTGTACAAAGGCTGTGAAGCAGTAAATAGGACTATAGTGTGGATGTAGTTTTATACTTCAGACAATAAAGAACAGTAAACACATGTCAAAAGCAGCATAAAGAAAATAAAAATATTCACAATGAAGAGAAAACGTTTCTCAAGTTAAAAGCGGCAGATCATCTAGCAGCCATGAGCCGTCTCAAAAGGGAAACACAGTCTGCATACAAGGATTACTGTTCAAGCTTGGTCACGAGACGCTGCCAAGTCCCAGCACTCAGCTGTCACTCATCTGCTCCCTGCATGAGCCAGAGGTTTGGAGGCTAACCTCAGGTCAGTTAGATTTACACGGGTCAACACAAAGTTACTGAATCACTCACTTTGATCTTCACATCTAGTCTGAAAATGTGAGCTGTGACTGACAGACTGAAGTCGGTGCAGAACACTGAACTGAGTAACCCTTTAAAAATGCCACAGCAGGAAGGAAAGCAATACAGTACTGAGCTGCAACAGCACAATTACTGCTACAGAAGCACCACACATAGAGTCACCAATTTATCATCATGATCGCAGTAACCACCTGAGAAAGGACCTGAGCCAAAGGCTGCAGGGGTGAAAGACTTTCTGCATCTTTGTGTCTGGACTGGTGTGGACTTTAAGTTAGAGTGCACAAGCAGAAATTTGAGTTGCTGGTGAAAACAGCAGGTTCAGACTGAATGAATAATGTCTCTTCAGTACTTCAGTCAAAGTACTCAGCTGGATACCCAGTGTCTGTGCTTGCCAATTGTAATTTGTGATTTGACACTACCAAAGCTGCACCACCAGGTGAGATAAAAACCATCTACTACAACTGACTAGATCTGGTCGGTAGAAACAAGAAATCGGGAACTTCAACAAGACACAAGTGTCTTCAGATACAAAAGGTGAGTGTTTTCACACCTGAAAGTTTAAACCAAGGTTCATGTTTTTGTTAAAATGTACAATAAAGAACCTGATATAACCCACGTCCTGTCATCATCTCTCAATACTAGACATTGATTGGTTTGTAGACAGGTGTGTGTCTGATGTCCATGAGTAGCCTCTTCCATTTGAAAAAGAAAGAAAATGAACAGATTCATTTAGTTGGCACACTATTGTTATTATGGCATTACTACCAGCAGCACCAACTTCAAGCACAGTACTCAAGTTCAAAATTAGCCATATGAACATCCTAACAGGGCAAAAAATATACTGTCGCTGCCAGAAAGGGAGGCCAAGACTTCAAACAGTCCTGCAGGCCACTCCATTTCTGGAGAGATACTGTAAGTAAGGTGAGTGCCACTGGTACTCCGTCTTCTTCTGCTGTTTGGGTAACAGTAGCCCATCTCAACTTCCATCCTAAGGTCTGAACCATCCCAAAAAATGTTTTCACATTAAACAGTGAAAACATTTCACAGTGAATCATGGTTCAGTTTGATCTGGACGAGACCACCTCTTTTGGTATAGGACCAAGTCCGAAGTCCAGACCAAACAAGGCAGGTATAAAATCATCCTAAGTTAAAGCTGTATTTATGTGGCAACAACTGCCATTAAGTGACCCTGGAGGATGGTGTGACCACTGGAAGAAAGGGCAGACTGAAAAACTGGTTCCAACACTGTTCAGTAGTTGAAAAGAGCCAAAGGGGAGACAGTGGTAAATGATGTGGTGCCAGTGGGGTGAGAGCAAAAAGTAAAAGCAAATCAAACAAGGAAAGGCCTGTAAGTGAAAGATTGGGCTGTGTAGGCAAGAATGATGGGGAGAAGAGCGATGGGCAATCTCTCTGATCTAAGGTAAGAAGTCTGTAAACTGAAGACAATTATGAAAAACCAGAGAATATATGAGACAAGATGAGTTTGAGAAAGAAACTAGGGATGGGACAATGTGATCTTCTCAATACAATTCTCAACTCAACTTTATTTATATAGCGCTTTACCACAGCACAGCTGACCAAAGTGCTTAACATACCATACAAATCTAAAATCATCACATAAAAAACTATAAACAATAAAACAAACACTCTAACACTACAGACAGAGTCTCATTCCTGGCCAAACGCCAATGAATACAAGTAGGTCTTCAAATATGACTTAAAAATAGACAACGAGGGGGCCTGCCTAATATAAAGCAGCAAAGCATTCCACAAACCTGGACCCACCACAGCGAAGGCTCTATCCCCCTAGTTTTACGCCTAGCCCTTGGTGCCTCCAGAAGAAGCTGATCAGCTGATCTGAGGCACCGCGACGAAATATACGGACGCAAAAGTTCCACAAGATAAGATGGTGCCAGCCAACTCCAGCATACAGTGCATTACAGTAATCTATACGAGATGTAATAAACGCGTGGATCACTGTCTCCAAATGCTGTCGTAACAAAAAGGGTTTTAGTTTCACAAACTGCCTTAAATAAAATAATCCAGATTTTACGACTGCATTTATCTGGCTCTCCATTTTCAAATTGGAGTCCATTTTAACACCCAAATCAGTGACCACCGGTCACACATACTGCCCCAAGAAGCCTAAGTCTACAGGAAGAGGGTCGCCACCAAACACTATAACCTCAGTTTTACCATCATTTAACTTTAAACAGTTTAACGCCATCCAGCCCTTAATATCGGCAAGACATGCTAAAAGCGGTTGAATCGAGTAGGTGTCCTTCTTACTTTTAGATTCAACCGGTTCTTTTATCTGAAGGCCCCAAGAAGTAAGACTCAGGAAACAAGAATCAGCTTTAGTAGATTTATTTACTTCTGGTTAAATGCAGAGTTATTACAGCACTGGGCTCTAAGAGATGACAAGTCCCAAGAGCTTTGATAATAGGAAGTAATTCACATATATCTTCTCGGGCTGGGACTGCCCTGTACATGGGTGGAACTCATTATCTTTTAATCTGTTGACTCAAGGTTCATACTAATATGAACTCATTATCTTCTAATCTGTTGGCTCTACACTCACAATATGAACTGGACACAAGGTTCATACAAGGTTCATGCAAATATTCTAGAATGTTCGAATAAGCAGTGTGTGTGTGTGTGTGTGTGTGTGTGTGTGTGTGTGTGTGTGTGTGTTGTTA